CATGCCTACAACAGTGCCGCAGCTTTAGTAGAAGCATTAAAAACAAAACCTGCTGTTTGAAAGTTCTCTAGCGACCGTGCTTTGGAGGGCAGAACTTTGCCGTTGCCGTGCTTAGGCTTGGCTTTGTGGTCCCTTCACGAGAGGAGGCTACTCTTTCCAGTAAGACCTAAAATTCACTCGCTCGAGCATACGACGCTTAGCTGTGCACGCCTAGAGTTCATAGAGTGGATGCCAAATTTGCAACAAAGCCCGTATGTTCGCCAAGGATCCTGGATTTCAAAGGGAACCCACGATATTTCCAATGTCTTTTAGACGAAGACATGATTGGCAGAGTGACCAGCATGCATAAGTCTTATTTTTTGAAAAAGGTCATGTTTCATTCTTGTTGGTGCACTTAGAGAATAGGAAGGTTCACCCATCAGCTGTCCCAGGTGAAGCTGATCGTGAAGGGGCTGCGCCCCATGGTGTTTTCAAAGCGGGCATTAGAACATTATGCCCTAGCGATGGGGCTACGCTGGCGGAAACCGCTTGAGAAATAAAGATGCGCCTACAAACGTTCGGGTGGCCCGCACCGCTGACAAGCTTTCGAGTGATCCCCACCGAACATATATGAATATATATATATATACATATGTGATGAGCTGTGCACTTTTGTGTTTTGTCCCACATGTGTTGTGGAATCTCCTGAATCGCTGGTCCATGCACATGTTTGACAACAAAAGATGCAGCGTTGGAAGGCTGGATCAATTCTTGATGGGTCTTGTAGCGGCAGCAAGGGGCGTCTATATGGACATGAGTCACATAGGCTTGTCTATGTGTCCTCACAACCTGAGTTGGAATGGCCTCCGACCTAATAGGACTGGCCTCCGATCCAACCCAATATAGCATGGCCTCCGACGTAAGAGGAATGGCCTCCGATCCAACCCCAATAGCAATGGCCTCCGACCTAATAGGAATGGCCTCCGATCCAACCCAATAGCAATGGCCTCCGACCAAAATAGGAATGGCCTCCGATCCAACCTAATAGCAATGGCCTCCGACCTAAGAGGAATGGCCTGCTTGTCATTTTTTTATTGCGACAGAGGCAATCTGAAACGAGAATGTTTGCAACAAACGACAGGAAAAGCACACCAAAGCGCTCAAACGACAGCGGTTCCGAAACCAAAGCGCTCAAACGACAGCTGCGCCAATGAAAAGGTTTATCAAAACCAAAGCCTGCGCGCAGCTTTAGGTCCAAATGTAAAAAATTGTCCTTAAGTATAGGTTGATCATAAACGAGCACGTTTGCCACAAACGACACGGGTTCAAACCAAAGCGCTCAGACGAAAGCGCGCAAACCAAAGCGCTCAAACGAAAGCGCGCAAACCAAAGCGCTCAAACGAGACACTTGGGGCCAAAAAATCCTTACACACAAGGTTTGTTTGTTTTAGTTCTGGGCGTACAGAGTTTTACTTTTTTTGTGCAGGGCAAGGGTTTCCGTTTCTAATCTAAACACTCTATATATAGACACATAGACACTCTATATGACACCCTAGACGCACAGCACACACACAGAGTGAAAGGCTCATCCGCTCCAAAGTGTGTTGCCCCACCTTTTTCGGCGCAGGGATCTCAAAGGGTTCTGGTGACAGCTGTGAACCCTCTGCACGCTACGAAAGGCGTAGGCCAAGAACAGGTTTTGAAGAATAGTTCTAATATGTTTTCATTGAAGGGCTTGAACCACAGGTTTGAGGTGTCATGAGGGTCCACGTGCAAGCCGTCGGTATTGCTCTAGTTTCAGAGCAAGGCGCAGGAGGTAACGCTCGAACGTGCGTTTTGATGCAGTTGCACCATGACACTTCTGCCATATAGCCTTTATTTTACCTAGAAAACTCTCATCATCCCAGGTGTGGAAGAGAGATTGGTTGAGTCTCCACTCCCGTATATGGACTGCCTGGTGGTATACACAATGGTGTTTGGGGCGCATGCGGAATAGCGTCTCCCTGGCCTCCCAAAAAAAGGCAGCAAACCACGCATAGGTCTGGAGATGCAGTTCGATGCACTGCGAACATTCCATTGCATCCGTTTCATTCAGTATCAACCCTGAGTTGTCCATGATCTCGATAGCCCTTTGCAGGTTGTAAACTGAAGTGCTGAAGACCTGCGTGACCATGTCCTGGGTAGATGACAGAAACCATACGACAAAAGGCGTACACAGCCTACACCTAAGTTGGAGTTAGAACACAGTTCTCACCGCAAATGCAACTGCACCAAAGCTTTGGCAGATCTTTGATAGATGAACGCCGAGATTCATCAGGTGTGCGGTCAGCGACTTGAGCAGCCTTAAACGAAACCCACCACAGCATGATTTTGATGTGGCACGCCTTGAACTTGGATCCCATCTTAGTGTAGTCATCTGAAGGGAGTGTCAAGGGTGGTTTCTTTGGCGCATAAATCCTTAGCTGGGTTCAACCTGTGTGCAAAAGGAAGGACAGGTTCATATGACCAGAACTAGTGAGAATAAACAAGAATAACCACATACTCTAAGCTGTGCTAGAGGACCCGTGTTCACGGCAATCTTTGACCATGTCCTTGTGAATCTTGGCTAGGGCTTTGATCTCATCAATGCCATCTCCAAGTGGGTACACTCCTTGCCGCATAAATAGCTTCAAACCACTACCCACAACATCCCTGCCAATGCCAAGGTAACAGTTATGCATGAAGTCCCAAGAAGAGGTTTCCAATCTCCACCCAGGCATGGCACACCAGTCAGACATAGTGCCACCCATTGCAACATACTGTTCACGATTCAATCGCGTCTCTGGCCATGCCGCGGTGCCGGTGAAATTTCGGAAGTTCAAGACATCGGGGCTGTGAACGCTGTTCATGGCTAAGCAGCTCTCACACACCCTTGGTTTCTAGTTGAAACCTTTCAGCACTGGGGTTTACGTATCAAAGCATACAGCTTGGTACAACTCGTTGTCATTAAGGGTGCAAAAAGGTGGCGCACTAACTAGTCCTGAGTTTCGCTGCTTTTTTGATACCAGCGATCAAAGCCATTGATTTCATGTCGAGCCTTCAAATCAGCTTTGAAAGCAAAGTAGCAGCCCCTGAGCTGCTCTGTAGGAGGTGAAAGCAAAACAGATTCCAATAATGTTTTTGGTGGTTTGAGTTGAGTTGGAGACACGAAAGAAAATCTCACCAAAAAAGATTCCCCAACAATATACCAAGTTGCTTCCACCCCTGAGCTAGCTGCCTCCCACAGAGCTCTGCCCTGAACGATTTGGCCGGAAAGGATTCCTCTCGGAAGCCTTTGTCAGGCCATTGGCCAGATGCAGCGAATTTCATCGACCATGCTGCAACCTCAGCTACCTTCTTGAAAGCAGCCGCACGTACCTCGTTGAAGTAGGAGATTGCGCTTGATTTTGCGTTCTTTGATCTCATGTGACGTTCTGGGATTATGCAGAACGGGAACTTGAAGGTGAGCACATCCTTTATCATACCTGTGCCTCCAAATATGGAGCTCACACTCCAAACGAAACACTCGTCCTCCCTATAAAATTGAGCCCCGTCAGCATGAAAGTGGAGTCCAATAAGCCTGCTCAATTCATCCTCCTCCTCCACATTGAGTGAAGGGTGACTAGCCCAAGGTGGCAGCTGTTTGACATGTTTCCAAAAGCGAACACGGGATTCATCATCTAGATCTCCCAGCATGATCGACTTGAACGCCGCTTCAGCGCGAGAGCTCGCTAGACAGTCTAGAATCTCGTGAGGCAGCAGCATCCTCACAGGGACCTCGACCTCATCGAGCCCATCAACCTCGATCGGTTGGGAATCACGAAGGAAAGGGGGCAGGGAGGGAGGGAGGGAGAGACCAAGGAGATGGCTGTTGTTGAAGAACACTTGGAATAGAAGCTCCTTTTGAACCAATTTCTCTTAAGATAAGATTCAATTGAACAATTGGCATAAAAAGAAAAGCTTTTTGAATCAAAGAGAATAGACTTGCAACCGCATTGGAACGATGTATGTCTGGAGTTTGAACTGGTACAGGTTGCTGAGCCAACGATGGAAGTCACGTTCATAGTTGTTTGGATACTTTCCATGGTTACCTAGTGAGCTGAAGGCTCGCACAGCCTCATTCTGAAAGCCATCCCCAACCATGCAATGAGTGACTTGCGCTTCAGCTTCTCTACCGTTTCAGCGCGTCCACATTCTTCTAGACGTTGCCTTTTCCTGGCAACATGTAGCCATTCAACAAAAAAACATAAATGGTAAATTTGAAAACCTCATGATGAGTACTGCCGCTTGAAAGCAGCTTTAGAAGTGCCAACAAATTGGATTGAAAATGATTGAAAGCTCTTGATCGGCATTGCTATGCACCTCAAACCGGTTTTTGAGGCTCTCAAACATGCATCGAAGCCTTGAAGAGGACAGACCTGGCACGGCGGGTATGACCGACGGCATGTCCTAAGATGCGTTGAGAGGCCAACCAGATAGTGTGTCCATAGCTGCCCTGGTGTTCAAACGCCTTTCTTGGTCGGAGGTCGCAGGTAAGTTGTGAACCTTGTCACTGTGGTTAATGACTCAGATTGACCATGTCTAAGGTTACTGAATGCCTAGAACTGGACAAGGCCCGAATCCACAACAAACTTTTTGCATAGATTGCATTTGAAGAACGTGTAAAGCCTTGTCAGCAAAGCCCCTGTCACAAGTGGTCACACTTGTGGTCTCAAAACCCGTGCTCAAAACACCAAATTGGTGGAGCTCACTCCTTTGCTTTTGCCTTTGCTTTCGCACCAGGACCCTTCTTTTTCTTTGTCTTTGTGCTTTGCAGGAATGCATTGGCAGCCGCCTGTCGGTTGAGTGGCTCCCTTGGGAACTGGAAGTGCATTGGATGGGGGGGACATGGAACGCTTGACAATAGGCTGATCTACTATCTCTTCAGGAAGAGTGAACAGGGCTCCAAACAAGAGTAAACCATGAATTTGGATTAGTTGCATGTTTGTTGATGGCCGTGTGCGCTAAGACATGACTGCATGGACATCCAAAGAAGGAACTGGACATTGGATGGATTGCCGGTCTGAGGTGGCCTGGAGCTTGGCACTCTTCTTTTCGAGTTCTTCCATGCGTGGCTCACCTTCTTTCAAGGCTCGCTCGGGCGACTTGACCTTTGCCAATTTGGCAACCTCGTGGTGAACAGCCTCCATGGAACTAGCGTGGCCCAGCATCTTTTTGGCGAGATCTTGGGCAAAGTCAAGCTCTTTAATGCTGATAGCACCAGTCCTGACTTGACCAGACACTTTCAAGAAGTCTTTCAGCCGCGCTTCAATCTTCTCCTGGGGGGTCTTGCTTTCAACTCTTCAGACTTATCTTTTAGCGTCTTCGTCTTTGAAGCCGCGGTCACCTGCTCGGGCATGCCGTGGCGCAAGATGTGTTGGTCCACTTTGGGCGAAAGTTTCCCAATCCCTGTGAAACCCGGTGAAACCTACAGGAAAATATATATGTCTACATACAGGTTGCGCGTTCAAGGGTTTCCAAAAAGTTTTGAAATATGGCGTGACACAAACGCGTGTCTGTGTGTGTATGTAGGCGCGCACGCATGCACTCTGGGGCCTTGCTGTTGGTAGACATTGCACCCAACAGCTTGGAGCACCCGGCACTGGTAGCAGTCTGCATCTTTGGCATGGCGCCAGGCTTCAAGATACCAGCTTCTGGGTCAACCAGCTTATGCAAAAGCTCGTCTTGGATTTTGGATGTAGCCGTAAGTTTCATGGTATCTGTGGTTTTGTCTTTTTTGCTCGAACTGGTGGGCCGAACGCATGTAGAACCACTGCTCCTTTGCTTGGTTTCCATAATGGCAGAACAAATATGAAGAAATAACTTCGATACAGTGCACACTAGGTTTAAGGGCATCGACAGAAACACACGAAAGGTTTCTGAACTACAAACAAGGTTCATTTTCGTCTGTGGGATAGAGGTCATCTTCATACCACATACCCTCCTCCCTTCGTTTCTGAATGATCTCTTTACCCCGATCGTCACCAAATTTGAGCTTCAGGTCACGACCCTGCATAGCAATCCAGCCCTTCCGTGATTCATTGGATTGTGACTGGATGCGTTCCACGTGCAACTGGCATGTCTGCCAGGACTTCCCGCTGTCCAACCAAAAATTGAATAGTTCCAGTTTGTTGGACTGGAAATAGTCATAGACGCGAAATCGCTCTTTCGATCTGACAAAGGAGTCCCAGTCACACTTATTTGTCACACCTTGAGTGGCCCTAAAGTGCAGCTAGAATTGAGGAAAGTTAGAGAAGGAGAGTACCACCCAACAAAAACAAGTGAGAGCTTTCTAAACCGAAGCCCTGGCACTGTTCCGCACAGTCTTTTCCCCCGACGTGCTCTCGACCGCCTGCACCAACGCTTTTGCCTTGGGGTTGCTTTCTTTTTCATTCGACTTTTTCTTATCTTCTCCCTCCTCCTCATCCTCCTCCTCATCAGCCTCAGACATTGGCTCCCCATCCAAGTCTGAGCCCTCTTCTTCTTCCTTCTCTTCACTCTCGGCATCAGATTCTTCCTCCTCTCCCTTCTCTGAAGCCTCCTCATCTTCACTCTGCTGCTGGCGCCTCGCTTCCCTCTTCATCACTTTCCTGCAAAGCCTGCTCCTCAACTTCATCAGACGATGCATCACCATCTTCTTCCGCCAAGCTGAGCTCCTCAGCTTCGCTCTCACTTTGCTCATCATCTGACTCGCGCAACAATTTTGTCATCTCTTTCACCTCAGTTTCAGACCCCAATGCTGAAACTGAAGATGACCTTGGTCGCTTCGTCTTCGGCGTGAAGGTGCCCTCGATCATGCCTTTCTTGGAAGGACACCATGGGACCTTGTCAGACTTCCTTTTCTTGGATCCCACATTGCCATCCTCCACCATCTCCTTCTTGTTCTTCTCTTCGCTCTTCTGCTCCTTCTTTTCTTTCTCCTTCTCAACCCGTTTCTTCTCATCGGCCAAATGGGCTAGCTTTTCTGCCTGTCTCTTCTTTTGTTTGGCAAATTCTTCTTCCCTTTCTGCCTTCCTCTTCAACTTCTCTTCCTCTACCTTCAACTCCTTCTTCCGGTTCTCTCTCTCTTTCAACTTCATTGCCTTCTGTTTCTTCTCTTCAAGCCCGGCCTGCTTCTTCTCCTTCCTGGCCTCCTTCTTCTGGGCTTCCTTCTCAGCCTCCCTCTTCTTTCTTTCCTTTGCTGCTTGCATTCTTCTTTCCACATCGAGCCTCAGCTTCTCATCAAGAGACTGCTTCTTCACCTCCTTCTGTTTCACCTCCTTCTCTTTCACTTCCTTCTTCTCGGTAGGCTTCGCCTTTTCCTTCTGGCTCTTGGTTTCCTTTGTAGACACAGCCACCTTGTGGCTACTGGTCGCTCCAGTGGACTTTTCGCGCACCCGCTTCAAAGGCACCGACATAGCAGGCCAAGCTAAATGGAATAGCAGGGCCCAAGAAGTAGACACAGCCTGAGCGGTCTGAGCCTGGCGCTTGTACCAAAGAGCCCGAGGAATGCCGAATAAGCACGGCGGTACACTACTACAGTAAATATTCACATCAATATTCCAACGCCCTCTTAGAACACAATACAAATCGCATCAATCTTTGGAACAGCTCGGCTGCCAATCCACTCCAGAGTTCACAGGTTTTTTTTGTGAGGACGACTGCAACATGTTGAAAACTTACTGGAACATACTCTTCGCAGCATTTCGCAGTTATTCGCAGCAATATCGCAACCTTTTCGCAGCTTTTTTTTTGGAAAATGATTGATATTTTTTTCACAGCCCATGGAATTTCCCTGGCCCACCACAATTGCGCCAGGCGGGCCATCGACTTGGAGTGGTCTTGACAAAGTAAGGCGAGGCATTCTCCTGGTGGGCCGCAGTGGTGTCGGCTTTTCTTTATTAGAGCAACGGGTGTTCTGTGGGGATGACTTTGGAGAACATTGGTTGTTCTGTTTTGTATCCAATCCTACACTTTGGACACCACAATCACACATCCCCCCATATAAACTGTCCTGCGTGTTCTGCGAATAGATCGAAGGAATCCTGATCCCCAGCGGATAGTACCTGGAAGACATGTTTGATGAGGAAGACGCACATGCACCCCTGTCAAACCCCAGTTTCCAATTCCACCATGAGCTCATTGAGACGCTGAACTCTATAAATAGTGTACTCGATCGCTGGTGTGGACATCTAAAGACTCTGTTTCATGTACATGTGACTGAAGAGAGGCTGCGACGGCTGTATACAGATGTTTTTTGCCTTGGCCCCTGAGCGACATGTTGAAAATGGCGCGACCACAAACACACTAGAAGGGGAGTTTGAAAAGCAGCTTTCGCGTGCAATCCCCCATGTGGCAAAGCCCGAATTAGAGAACAGCTTCAGGCCAGGAAATCACTGGCGCTGGGATAAGTATGTAATGATGGGCTTGAGATCAGCCCCCTTCACCCATTTTGCATTGGCTCGGGGCCTCTCATCCATCAAGGATCCACGCGATTCGTGAGCCCTCTTCAGAAAGCTACGGGCAAATCTCCGCTGCTTTTTGAGGGCCAGTGTTCTGCGCGAAGCTAGGGCGCGCCCAAACCTGGGATGAGGGTTCTACTCAGATAGAATGCAAAAGTATGTGTTTGAGATGAGCGCACAACATTGCACATCAGTATGTGTTTGCATCTTTTCACAGGTTCCTAAAGATGTTAGCGTTAGTTTGAGACATGTTTCAATGATAGAATGCAAAAGCAAGAAACCCTGCCGGATAAGCTTGACTTGCTTTCAATTGGGACCCTCCCTGCACTCTCCATTTGCCACTCCCATCCACATAGCGTCGCACCATGCCCCGTTGGCGGAGGTTGCGCCTTGAATGGAATTGGCTGAGCTTCTCGATGGCATCGCTACCTTGAGGCGCAGTGGGAACAAGATTTCCATACGCTTATTTTCAAGCCTTTGTGATGCGCTCCATTCCAAGTACCAACACGGGTACAATCTTGATTGAGTTCACTCGCCGCCTAAGAACTCCCCTTCCCGGAAACACCAAACTCAATCAAAGCACTGGAATATAAGATTGTTCGCTCCTCTGTAGGTCCCCCAAAGTCGGCCATGCTCGTCATGTACTTCCTCACGGAAGTGAGTTTGAGGAGTGCTTGAAAACATGGGAGCCACTCCATGCAGCTAGTGCTGGGTTGTTCGAGCACCCACCAAGCACCGCGGCATGTCGCAATGAGTGCTAAAATCAATGCTCGACACGCCAAGATCGTCCCATCGCGAACACCACCAGTATCTTTGCCAAGTGGTTTTGCAGCGCTTCTCAAAGTGCTTCCGCGACTCCTCGGACAGAAAAACTGCTTGACCCCCACAAGTCCCCTCCAACCCTTGCTTTTTTAGCTATCCATGGTTGACTTGCGGGGGCCAAGAAATAGGTCGATCATTAATCCAGTTTCACCGAGGAGCAAAAAGACAAAGGTGCCACAGACAGGCGCCAGCATCATGCCCCCTCCCTCCTCCAAGGGGGAGGCGTGGTAGAGCGCGTTGAGGAAGCCCACATCGCTGAGCAAGTCAAACTCAGCGCCGCCAAACTCTCGGTCTAAGAGCGGATCTCCCTGCCTAAACACGGTTGATTGCAGTCGCCTCTATAGCTACATGCGATAAAACTCTGATATATATATATATATCATCTTTGTGTATACATATATAATATAATATATATATGTATACACATGTGAATTTGATGGAAGTTCACCATGAACCCTTCGAAGTGACCAGCAAGCAGTTCGATCCGATGGCATTCGAAGCATTCGACAACACGCCAAACAAAATGTTTGGCTCAAGGGACGAGCGGACTCCGGCGGTGGTGGAAGAAACGGCGTGGACGCTGTTGGGACCTTTTTGGTTTTGGTTTGAGGTTTGTAGGAAGTTAGGTGCTACCTTTGTGACTTCACTGAAGTCACATTGGTAGCGGAGCCTAAAGTGGCTTCTGTAGGACAGAACAAGCCATGGAGGGTTCTGGGTCATCGACAGATGACAAAAGTTCAGGTATCTGGAGTTTGCTGCCGTCGTTCGATCCTAGCACCGACAATGCTCGTGAGTATTTGGCCAAGGTCAAGTTTCTGGACGGCATTTGTCCCAAGAAGGACAGACCGATGTTGGCGCCCAGGCTGGCAATGCTTTGTAAGGGGACTGC